TTGCAAAGCGTTTCCAAAAACCAAAACCAAATTCCATTGGTGGTTTTCTGGAAAAGGAATTTTTTGTTTTTTGGAAGCAATCCCCCCCCCCCCGGATTATTCTGAACTGCCAAACGCTTGCTCAAAATGCCCCCCCCAGCCAGATGATTTATATGAGGTAGCTAGTAGCCACCAGCCATCGAAGCCTATTAAGTGAGTGAGTAAGTCAACATGTGGCATTAGAGCAGTATTTCTCAACCTCAGCAACTTTAAGCCGTGTGGACTTCAACTCCCAGAATTCCCTAGCCAGCATGCTGGCTGGGGAATTCTGGGAGTTGAAGTCCACACGGCTTAAAGTTGCTGTGGTTGAGAAACCCTGCATTAGAGAAAGAGACTCTTATGGACACCCTTTCATACAATTGGTCCTCACCATCAAATGTAGGGGACCACAGCTTCCATCATGGGCATTGTAGTCCAACACATCTGGAATGCAGCAGATTGGAAAACCCCCACAGGCCTTCTGTACAGGTGGAGTAGAGAGGCTATGAGAGTTGAGCATCCATTCCTTTGCTCTGGAATGTCCAAATTAAACAAACCTATTAGACTCTCGATGATCACACAACCACAGGATCGGACTCGGGTGATGTAGCAAGTGGGATATATTAAATTGCCGGGTCTTTCTCAGCGCTCGTAATGCGTGCCTTGAGCAGGCCAAACTGGTTTGTCAGTCCTGGTTCAACTGGTTTTTCTCTCCATTGCTTGACAGCATCTGCATTCTCATACAGTCAGAGGGCAGCGGATTCCTTCATCGATCTTCTCCTGCTCCTGTCTCCACCCGGGGTTAAATATCGGCTTGTTACGCTGGTTTAAAAGCACACAGGGGAGGGAAATGGTTTCAACCACTCCTCCCTTGGTTCTCAATCTATTTGGATAAAAAGCAGTGTCCCAAAAAGGGCCAAAGTACCAATATATTGATTTGTTAGATTTATACGTCCTATTTTTCCTTTTGAGGGCCTAATGAACCTCATTCCTCATTGACTCATGATTGGACTCCATCATAACCACCCTTACATCTTGGTTTACAAAACTACAAATCAGGGTTGGGGTGCTCGATCGCGACCTTTTCATCCTTCCCTCCTCTGGGAAAAGCCTTTTAGGAATACATCTCCTAGAGGCACCTATGGTTTGTTCTTGGGTTTAAAAAACTGACACCTCCATGCAGGCTTTGGCACAGCATCTAAGCTACTTCTCACTTCCAGCTTCTCTTCTCTCCCAGAGAACGAGCAAGGGTGTCTCTGGGCATGTGCAGAATTTTAGCGTTTTTAGCCGGTGCACTTTCAGTTTTAGTCCGGTGACTAGAACAGGGCTGATGAAGCACCGACAGCACCCTGGGTCAGTTAAGGCGGTGAGCTTTGCTCGGCAAGACGGTCGACGCGGCCGAATTATTACCTCAGGCGCCGTCGGACTCCCCCGGATGTCTTCGATCGATTCGCTCGGCTTTCGTTTGTCGGACCTCAGTGGGTTTACCCGGATGTCTCCCATCGATTCGCTCGGGGTTCGTGGGTCACGCCTCGGCTTTCCCACCTGCTCTTGGGCGCGGTTTAGAGCCGGGGGCTCTTCCTCCTCCTCACTCTCCGGCGGGTGTTGCGTCGGGCGGCGCTCCTCTGCCCTCCCCCCCTGCCTTCCTCGCCGGCTTCGCGGTTTTTTCAGTGGGTTTCGGTTTTGCTGCGCCTTTTAGGGTT